ATTGGTGGATCAAACGTAACTCTGTATTTTATATTTTGAGGCACTGCCAAACTCTCTTTCCTTTAACTGCTACACCATTTTGCATTCTCCACTGAGGTGGATAAGTGTTCATCTTTTTCTATATCTTTGCCAACACTTCTTATTTTTATAAACCATTAATTTTTTATAGTCATTCCAGTGACTTAGCATACTTCATTGTGTATTTGATTTGCATTTTCTTAATGAGCGTCGTTTTATGTCCTCCTAGGCCATTATGTATCCTTTTTTGTGTGAAATTTCTGTTTAAGTTCTTTGCCCAGTTTTTGATCCAGTTATTTGTCTTTTTGTTGTTGAATTGTCGACAGTCTTGATACATTCTGTGCAGTAAGCTGTTAATCAGATTATATGGTATCTAAACCTGGTCTGTCTATAGATTGTGTCTTCACTTTGTTGTTAAAGACCATTGATGAATAAAAGTTAAATTTGTATATGGTATTCTTTATTTCTTTTGTCCTTTTCTGCTCATGCTGTTGGTGTACTGTATCTAAGAATGCATTATTTTAAAACTTAGTCTCCAAATCATAACCTTTTCTTCTAAGAGGGGTATGGTTTTACTTCTGATATTTAAGACCTTGATTGGTTTTGAATAGATACCTGAGCAATCTGTGTTTCCATTTAATTATTTCTCCCTTTTTGGTGGGAAGAGGAATGTGGGACTCACTCTTCTGTGTGTGGGTTTTTTTGTTTTGTTTTTAAGCAGTCTAATAGATTTTGTGGTAAATCGAGAAACTGAAATCAGCAAATTGATTTAATTTATATAGTTAACTAATTCTGGCAATTACTTCTCTATGATGAAGAGTACAGAAATTGCTAACAAAAATGTTTGCAGGCTGCTTTCAGAGGATGTAAATCTTGTAGAAAATTACCTGGAAGTAAATAATTATAATCTAGAGTAATTACATAGTGTAAAATTATATGCCAGCTTCAGTGATTTTGCAGAGGGCACCTTAGTTTGTGGAGGGAAAATGCCTCTTAAATAATGAATAGTTTTGGGTGTGAACAAAACATCAAGACATACCACAGAAAACTGGAAGGTGATTCTGTATTGGAGAATGACACATAAGAACACTATTAACAAAAACTAAATCTATGCTGATGAGGCATTAGTGCTTAAGAAGTAAAATTTTCACTTTACTTGCAAGATGCCCAGCTTTGATTCCCAGCCAGTACAGTAAAAGTTACTATTGCTTTGTTATGGGAGGCTGTGATGGTGAAGAATTTTTGGTGGATTCAGAAGAAAGTCCTAGCAATTTGCTTCCAAAATGATCAGTCAGTGAAAGCCTTTTGGATCACAGCAGTACCAGCTCATCATTAGGAAAGCATTTTGTTCCATTGTTAGGTTATTGTCCTGAATTGAATGAGACCTTGGCAGCTGTTAACCTAGACAACTTTGTGTAGTGAGGATATTATTGAGGTTAAGTAGTAACAGTCTGTTGTATTTTAGATTATTCTCGTGCCAGTTTAGGGAAAACTTAGAGATGAGTGAATTCCAAGTACCATCACAAGTGAGGAGGCCAGTTACACCAACATTTCCGATAAAACCGAAATAGTATAATAAGTTCTCTCCCCAATTTCCATATTCTCCTGCTGGTGAAGTGGTATCTTTTGAGTTGGTAACCTTTGAATTGTACTTTATTGTACAAGTAACAAATAAAAGGGCCTAAATAACAAATTGGGAGGGATCTGGTGTCTTAGTTGTAAGGAATTGCACTGGCCACATAAAGATAATACTGTTCAAGTCCACCAACTGCTTACAGAAACAAGATGGACAGTCTCCTGCAGTGTAATTTACTGCCTCTGAAAACCTGGAAGGTCAGATATGGGTCTATTCTGACTCAACAGTACACAACAATAGCAACAACAGATAACTGTGGCTCGTGCAGTTAACGTGGGCTGAAGAGAATTTTTATTTGCTGAGTGTTTAGAAGGTAGACTCAGAAGGACTAGAATCTCTCATTGCTGTCTACATAGAACCAACTTATTTGATTCTCCATTGGGTTTCCAAAGCAGTATGTGGCTCAGGACACTGCCTGTCTTTCTCCTGTGGAGACCCTGGTGGAATCAAGAGATGCAGCCTTTGGCTTAGCACTGCAACTCTTAATCCACCCAAGTTCCTTGGTGGATCTAATGGATAAACACACACACAGACACAGAGAAAGAGAGAGAGGTGTGAGCATCTTTGACTATTGTGATAAAAGTTTGTTAATGTTCATTAAAATGAGAAAGATTCCAGGGATTAAAATGCTGATGCTTCATTAAGAATTAGCTACTATAACTTACTAATTGAATTTAGTTTCTAGAAGGATAGATGAGAAAAATACCACAAAGAAAAAAGGAATATAACATTTTATACTAAATTCAGGACTTGGCCATTGTAATTGTAATGAAGATTCTAAAGTGAATGAAACGTAGTATTTTGAGAGGTAAAAAAAAATCTCAAGTGTGAGGATAAGAAATGTTCAGTAGCATAGTGTAAATATAAAATTAATAAAATTTTGTAAAATGTTGCAAATTTTGTAAAATTCTACAAAGATTTGGACAAGGAAGAGATCAGATTCCATCCTTAACTATCAGAAGTGTACCATCTACACTAAATTGAATTTACTATTTAATTTTTAATTGCAATTAGTCTGAATTACAAAAGCCTTATAATTCATGTGTAGAATCGCATAAGACCATGTTGGCCAGGAAAACTGCATGATATAAAATGCATTTGCTATCAGTGTTACTTTGAATAATGATTGAACATACTAAAACAACCATTTTAAAAATTGCAAGCACATGACTATTGGTAATTCTTTGGAGGTAAAGTTATATTTAACCATTTTGCACTCAAAAGTGGATATACTGTTGCTGTCACATTTTGTTTTTCTACTCTGTGATAGTTGTAGCTGAGAGATATTTACATGTATTTTATGTTTTATACTTTAAAAATAAAGCAACTAAATTTTTTCTTTTTTATTATTTTCCATAAATTGGATTTTATTTTTTATTCTTGCCTTCATTGATATTCTTGCCAATGATACCTATTAAGCAGATGTAAATTAAGTCACTTTTTGTTTCTATTTTTTTGTTTTGGTGTGGAAACACTAGTACATAATGCTGTTTCCCGGTTTGAAATAAAAAATTGAAGCTTCTTGTTTTTGAGTACCATTGGTTGAGAGCTGACCCAGAACTGATCTTCCAGCGGATTTTCACAGGCAGTTAATCACAAGAAAGGAAATTGCCCATCTTTTTCCTGTGGAGCAGTTAATGGATTTGAATCATGCACCTTTGTTGACAGAGCATCTCCTTACCACTAAGCTGCCGGAGCTCCCTAAATTGAAGCTTACATTGCCTTAATGGTTTCAGGCTAGTGTTGAATGTAGGGTTCCTAATTCAGTTCTGTTTTGGGAATTAGGCAGTATGGATCCTCAGTCCATAGTCACTTAATGTTTGTCTGCATTAGCGACTGATACTAACTGGTACATGTACCAGCAGAAGGGAAAGAATGAGAAATATTTTATATAAGCTAATTGAGATCCTGTCTCATCACAAGCCACATCTCTGCCATTGTCTCATTATAGTCAACATAATGGTATGGGGAAGGGCTTATTGAAGCGAATTTGACTTTGAGCTTATTGCTACTGTGTACATCCTGTTTCTTTATAAAAGGTGTGTGGGTGTGGATGTGAAAGAGAGAGAGAAAGTGTATTATTAAAATAGAGGGATGGATATCATCACTTTTTTTGAGCTTTTTATTGTGATTTGAGTGAAGGTTAATAGAGATTTGTTTACCATGCAACCATTCCTAGTACATACGGTATTGTGACATTGATTACAAGCCCCACATTTTAACAGCACCATTCTGACTTACAGTTTATGATTCTCATTTTCATCCATCCTTTATTCTCTCACTTCATGCTTTCTAAGCTTAATTCTTGGGCCAGTGCTGTTTGTTTGCTCTTGTTGATCTCCTTTGATAACTGGTTACTGTAAAGTTTGAGTACCTCCACAGTTTTATTGTTCACCTTGTAGGTCTGTCTGGTTTATGACTGAAAGTTGAGCATAGGTTGAGTTCAGCTCCAGACTCGCATGACTATGGGCCATCTTAATCAGACCAATAAACCTGGTTATTTTTATGATTTTCTCCTCTGTTCAAGATCTTGCATTGTGATCCCTTTTAAAGTGATGAGCAGTAGTAGCAGGATACTGTCTAGTTTTTTTGTTGATTTGGGGTTTTTCTTTCTTCTCAGGGTTGTTGATTTTGACGTTTCCGAGATCCATTAGTACTATGGACTGGTTATTTCCATGCTTTTTTTTTTTTTTTTTTTTTTTTTTTTTTTTTAGTTTCTTCACTTTTACTTTCTTTGAAACAGAAAGAGACCAATAATTGCACTTTACAAAGCTTATTGCAAGCTTTTAAGACCAGTTGCTACTCACCAGAGGAAGATGTAGAGCATTGTCTTTGTGGACTGTGTTATGCCAGTTAACATTGATGCCTGCAAGACTGTGATCCTGAGGCCTCATGACCTAATAAGTCATTCCCTTAGGGTGTTTAGTTATGGTTGAAAAGTTTACCTAACTTTGCCCGTTTGCTCTATTAATCTGCCAAACCTATGTATATAGTCCCTTTTGTATATCTTATTTGTTTGTCTCATGTGATGCCTGGAAAGCAATACCACTATAGTAAAATTTTTATAAATAGTATAAAAACTGAAAATTCATCAGGGTTTTTGAGAGGAAGAGTTTGATTTACTTGGACATTTTCAATCATTTATGGATCCTAATCAGCACCCTTTGTCATTCATAGGCAGATTTAATAGTCTCATTGTTCTCATGAGAGATCTTTAACAACTTCTCCAAATTACCTATTTGACTGTTCCACTCTGTTAGATCTTTCCCCCTGTTAGCTGTTAGCTTATGAATCTGGCATTAAGATTAAAACTAGAGATTAAATTTATTGTTTTTATTTGTTACAGATTTAATTCAGTGCACAAATGAGATGAATGTGAACATCCCGCAATTGGCAGACAGTTTATTTGAAAGAACTACTAACAGTAGTTGGGTGGTGGTCTTCAAGTCTCTCATTACAACTCATCATTTGATGGTGTATGGAAATGAGGTAAGCAGAATTTTTGGTTATAACAGTATACTCTTTTTTGAGGTACAGAGGTTTGTTCCAAGTTCAAAGGGTAACTGATAGCCACAGACTTAGGGGTTCTGTCATTTTCTATTGAACTGAAAAGCCTAGACTTTTAACTTTTTTTTTGGGGGGGTCCACATTTTTCACCTTCTGTATTTAGCACTTTCTACTGTGCAGTGTAGTTGTAGTAGCATCAACTGCCTCTATTTCTATTCATCTTTTATTTTCTTCCCTCTTCTTTGTTCTAGATCAGTAAATAAATAAAAGGTCAATAGTTGTACATTTAATAGTGCAGCCTGCATTTCGATGGTAGGCTTTTAAGACTCCAGTAATGCTCCCCAAAGTAGGACATAGAATATTGTCTTTGTGTGATGTGTCAAGTCGGTTGACGGTAATATCCTCTGATACTGTGGTCTAGAGAGGATCTAGGACTGGTAACTCATTTCCTTAGGGTAATATTTTAGCATTTTTAAAGTGATAGTTTCAAGAAATGCATTTTGAATTCTGTTGTGTGATCCAAAATTGAGTACTTCTTTTTTTTTTCCCCTATAATTATATTGTATTAATTTCCATAAACATTTACAGAGATTTTGGGCTTCCACTCATTCATTGTTGCACTATTCTCTCTACCCTCCTCCCAGTTTGTTCTTGTCCAAATGCCAC